TAAAGCAAGAAGGCGAGGCCTACGCAGACGCCATGGGCAGGCTGACCGAGGCCGTCAACCGCAGGGTTCCCCAGCTCAGGTGGGCAGGCGCAGAACGCCGACAAAACCTTCGGGGCAGGAGACCAGCTAGTGAGAAACACCATGGAGTCCGGCGTCGTGCCAGGCTTCGTTCCGCAAGGGGCCCGCCAGACTAGGGATCCGTGCAGAGCCGGTCGCAGAAACGTTGAAGCATCGGGCGTGGTGGGCGGCGCCTACTAAGCAAAAAGCCAATGGAAGAACAACGAGTCCTTGGATTTCGCAGGCGCCTCGACTACGGGGACGTCCTGGCGTTTATCAACGAAGGAGAACCACTAAACTTTCCCTTGCCCAACCGCAAGGCCACGATCTACACGTCCAGCCACTTCTATCTGGACGAATTCCCTCAGTCCACCGAGCCGCTGACGGACAACCCGCGCCCGCACACGGACCTGCATGGGGGCCGCCGTGGAAGACGAGTTTTACAGCGCTGACGAAGACGGCTACCGGGGCAGGGCGTTCCCCCAAGTTCGAAGGCCCAACTTTCTGGGGCCCGGTCCGGACACTGACACGGAGGACGAATCCTTCCGGCGCAATGGCTACGACGGAGCCCCCAGACCGCCGCCGCCGGGACAAGCATCCAGCAGCACTTCAGGTCGCTTGGGCGAAGCGGGCCTGCAGGGCGCCGAAACTATCATCGCGGCCGGCGCCGCTGGCGTAGGGGCTGCCGTGGACTCTTTTGCGCACCGCAATGCAGCTAGGGCGGCCAACGCCTTGGAACGGCGGTTCTTGCCCCCTCGCTCGGGGCCAAGGCCCCCAGATCATCGGCAGGCCCAACGAAACCGACGAAACCGAGGAACTGATCGTTCGGGCGGGCCAGCGCGCACAGGACGTGGAGCGTGCAGCAGCCCAAGACATCGAACAGTTCGCCGCAGAGCACAAGCAGCTGCAGAGGGAGGCGAACTCGTGCCGTTGCTGGCCGAAACGGCCGAAATTGGCACGCAAACGGCCGCGGCTGCCGAAGCTGGAGGGGGCTTGCTGGGCGGGCTCGCCGCCTTCGGCGGAGCTGCTGGCGAGGCTGCAGGTGGGGCCGCTGCCGCTGCATTTCCCATCGCCGAAGGCCTTGGCTTGGCAGCAGGAGTCGCCACTGGCGGCGCCGCGGCACTCGCAGGCGGCACTCTGTTTGGGCTCTACGAAGGAGGCAGGTGGCTGTTGGGAGGCAACGGCGGGGACGCCGCACCTGCTAGCTCGGGCAGCGAATCGGCCGATGTGAGGACCATCAACAACATGCAACAGGGCGCTCCGCAGGAGCGCTTCACGGTGCGACAGCCCAGGGTCCGGCAGCCCATGGTCGTGAGCATCAGCTCTGGAGACGACGCTCCCCTGGCACAGCAACGGGACCAGCCCAGGCCTCAAGTTCGAAGCCGCCCGGCGCCGCAGCCGCGCATGCCCTTCGGCCTCAATCAGGTGAATCAGGTGACCAGCAGCGAATCAGAGAGCTACGGCCCCGTACGACGACGGCAGCCGCGGGCCGAGCCCTCCTTCAACGACCTCCGGCGAGACGCATTGAGCCAGGAGCCCGAGGCCGCTTGAGTCGTACGACGAACGAGCTATTGCAAACGACGTTAGTAGGAAAGCAAAGAAACGATGGAAGTGGTGCCCAACGCCGTCAGCGATGAGCTCTTTGGACTACAAGATGCGAACCAGCAACGCCTCCTACGTGGTCGCCCGCAAGGACGTCCAGTATTTTCCCAGCTCCCTGAGCTCCTTCACCCCGAACACCTCGAGGGTGGCCCGAATTCCCTTGACCAGCGGGTCTGACTTCCTGGACCCCGATTCGATCAAGGTGGGCTTCAGGGTGCAGAACAACGAACAACGACGGCACGCTGGCCCTCCAGCCCGCGCTGGTGGACCCTGCGTGCTTCGTTAAGCACGTCCAACTTTTTGCCAACGGCCAGAGGGTCGAAGTCGTGCAGGAGTACGGCCGCTGCATGTGCCTCTACTCCTGCCTGAAACCGAAGGAGTGGTGGGACAACCGAGGCGTCGAGGGCTTCCACACACAGAACGACATCTTCACCCGGCCCGAGGTCATTCCGGCCACGCGGTACCGGGACGTGCTCATGGCCCCGTCCCTGCTCGGCCTCTTCAAGGCCGGCAAGATTCTCCCGCCAGACCTTAACCTGGTTCTCGAAATCGAGTTCGCCCCGCCGGCCGAGGCGGTCAGGCCTGGTGATGCCGGCTCCGTCGACTACGAGATCCAGAACGTTCGCGTGCTGGCCTCGCAGGTCACGCTGGACTCCGCCCTGGTCGAGTCCTTTCGCCGCGTGCTCCTGTCCGGCAGATCCCTGGTGTTCAGCTTTAATTCCGTCCATGCACACGCAAGTGTCCTCGATCCCCGGCGCGGCGACCAGCCACAACGTCACCGTCGCACGCGCTTTCACGAAGCTTCTGGGTGCATTCGTCACCTTTTACAACTCCACAAGCGCGGAAGGCCCTGTGCGGGATCTGCGAAACCCCAGCCAAACCGAGGGCGTTGAAGGCACCATGGAATCGCAGACGCAGCTGGGATCGCTCCAGTATCCCCACAACCCCATGTCCTCGACGGCCGAGCACTTCCACTTCCTCTCGATTTTCGCTCACACCTATGACTCCAGCATCAAGAACATGCGCATCAACACGGACACCTACCGCTTCAGAGAGTTCATCGCCGCATTCCCTACGGAGAGGGTGCCGGGCATGCCACTGAGCGGGATCTCCACTAGATCTGGCGATTTGGCCCGCTTCAGCTTCAAAAACTTGGCTGCCGACGCGGTCGACCGCATCTACCTGCACTTGCTGAGCTACCAGGTGGTGACCCTGTCGGGAGCCGGGGTCTCAGTCCTCGACTGACGCGACGCGCTGATAGGAAACTGATATCACATGTCCTTATTCGAAAGCTCTATCACCGGCAACATCTTGAACGACGGCCAGACGACCGAAACCAGCGGCATCACCGCAGGGCAGCTGCACCGTCTTGACGGCTTATACCCCGTTGACGGACACGGCCACCAACACAGCCGACATCAGCACCAACTCCGCAGCCGTCGCGGCTCTACAGGCTCAGCTGGGCGGCCTGCCCGCAGCGCCCGACCTGGCTCCCTACGCTCTGGCCGCCGACCTCGCGGCTGCCGAGGGTTCCATCGCCGCCAACCAATCATCAATCACGGCCCTGAACACCAGCCTGACGACGGGACTGGCCGGGAAGGCCAACCAATCGGCTTTGGACGCCCTCCAGCTAGAGGTCGACGGCAAGAGCACCCCGGCTTCGGTGGACCTGAAGCTGGCCAACCATCCCACGACGGCAGCGATGAACTCGGCTATTGCCAGCGCCGACAACGCGGTGTTGGCTTCTGTGGCGGCCACCTACGGCTTGAAAACCGTCACGGACCAGCTCGCCTTGGACGTGGCTGCGCGGCAAACCGCGGCCGACGTCGACCAGAAGATTGCAACAGCCTTGCTGCCCTACACCGACACGTCCGGCCTCAGCGCCGCCGTGGCTTTGAGGACCATGCGGCGGATGTGGACCAAAAGATAGCCACGGCCTTGCTGCCCTACACCGACGCCTCCGGCCTCAGTGCCGCCGTGGCCTTGAGGACCACCCCGGCCGACGTGGACCAAAAGATAGCCCCGGCCTTGCTGCCCTACACCGACACTTCCGGCCTCAACACCACCGTGGCTTTGAGGACCACGCCGGCCGACGTGGACCAAAAGATAGCAACGGCCCTCTTGACCTACGTGCAGCAGGCGGCCTTGGACGCCGCCTTGGCTCTTCGCGACGGCAGGCTGGACGCTGCGGAGGTGAGCATAGCGACCCTGCAAGCTGCCGGCTACCAAACCTCGACCCAAGTCTCCAGCGCCATCGCCGCGGCGCTTGTGGGCTACGCTACCACCGCGGACTTGGCGAACTACGCCACCAGCGCGGACCTCACCGCCACAGAGACCAGCCTGGAGTCGGCTATCGACGCCATTTTGGCCCAACTGGCTCTCCTCAGCACGGGCGGCGGGAACAACTTGATCAACGTGCAAGCCTGGCCCGGAGAAGTCACCTGGGACCTGCTGGTGGGCACCAACACTCTCCGGAACCTGCACGTCGTTGCCCCGCTGTCCGCGAGCCTGCAGAACGACAGTTTCACTTTGTCCCTGACCTGCGACTCCTACTCGAAAGCCGAATCGGACTCCAACCTGGCGGCCGCCCTTGTTCCGTATTACACAAGCGCGCAAGTGGACGGTGCAATCGCAGCGGTCCTCGTTCCCTACAGCACTACCGTTCAGATGGATGCCGCCATCGCAGCAGCACTGGTGCCATACAGCACCACAGTTCAGATGGATGCCGCCATCGCGGCGGCCGTGGCCGGAATCGACCTTAGCGCCTACTACACAGCTGCACAAACCGATGCCGCCATAGCGGCAGCTCTGGTGCCCGTGGCCCTCTCGAACGCGCCCGCTTGGGCGGGGAACACCACCTGGGAGCTGCTGAAAGGCAGCAACGTGATCCGAAACTTGCACTTCGCGGGGCCTTTGGTGGCCACCCTGGTTAACAACACGGACACGTTGCAGATCGAGTGCCAGGCCTATAGCACGGCACAGACGCTCACGCAAGCCGAAACCAACGCCGCCATCTCGGCAGCCATCGACGCGCTGAACATCACCCAGTACGTCGTTCAGGCGGACGTGGACTCCTCGATTTCTTCGGCCCTGACCAACTACTGGGACCAGGGCGAAACCAGCAGCGAGATCGCCAACCAGATCTCCACGGCACTGGCCGGGTATTACACCGACAGCCAGACGGACACCGCCATCTCCGACGCCTTGACGCCCTACTACACCAGTGCCCAAACGGATACTGCCATCTCCGCCGCCGTCACCGGGGCGGGCTACCAGACCCAGGCGCAGGCCGATGCCCGGTACTTCGTGGTGAACGGCAACGCAGGCGGCGGTGATATTATACCCATGGTGCTGGACCAGTTCACGCCGCGCATGGTGCGCGCGCTGCTGCCGCGGGCGCCGCTATCGGCCAACTTGATTCTGGGGAACCAGGGCACCGTGGAGCTGGAGTGCGATTGCTGGAGCAAGGGGGAAAGTGACGCGCGCTACTTCTCGAACACGGACTTCACGACGCTGGACAACCGCTACTACATGAACAACGGCAACAACGAGGCCGGAGGGATCTTCCAGCTGATGCTCACTCAGTTCAACCCCAGAATCATCCGCGCACTCCTCCCGCGGGCCCCTTTGACGGCCACGCCCATCCTGGGCAACGGTGCTACATTGGAGCTGGAGGTCGACTGAGTCGACTGTTACAGCAAGGCCGAGAGCGACTCGCGTTACCTCCAAGCTCTGGTAGACCCGCTGGTCGTAGGCGCCATCTCCTGCCGCGCCGGCGTCAACACGCTGACCATCACGGGAGGCACGCAGGGCACGGAAATCGTGGGCGAGCTGTCGGTGCCCGGCAACTCCAACATGGGCACGATAGAGCTCTCGGGCCAGCTACGCACGGACGAAATCAGGGCCCGCGACTTCGCCACGATAGCTCGGGGACCACGATCACCGGGGGGCCCTGGACGTCCCCGGCGTCATGACCGGCGACTCGATAGAACTCGACACGGAGCTGCGCGCCCCGACGGTGAGGGCCCGGGCCACCGACAACTTTCTGACCGTGAGGGGCGGGACTCAGGGGACCTACCTGGAGGGCACGTTGTGGACCCAGAGCCCCATCAGAGCGGACAACGGCATCATCGGCTCCCCGGCGTTCCTCACCCTCATCGGCGGGAGCCAGGGCGTGGAGCAGGTCTGTACCTTCGCCAAGGTGGCCGAGAATTCCGCGGGCGACGTGGAGTTCCGCGTGGACAATGGGGACGCCACCACCGGCGAGTCCGTGCTGCGCGTCCTCAATGGCAAGCTGCGCGCCCACTCCTCCGGTGCAGAGGTCTCCCTCCAAGCCGTGGGCCAGACGACTCGGTTTTTGAACCAGGTGGGCGACTTCGTGGGCTCCGTGGTCATCCAGACCAACGGGCTCCTGGTTGCCAACGACGGCATCCAGAACAACTCCGACGCCAGCATCAAGGCCAACCAAAGACCCACGCCCCTGGCGGAGCTGAAGGAAATCTTCGACGGCGTGGATGTGAAGACATACAACCGCACGGATCTGGATGGGAAGCCGGAGCGCGTGGGCTTCGTGGCGCAGGACGTGCGCCAAGCCGGCGCGCTGGGGCCCAAGTCGGCCCAGCAGCACGAGAACGGTATGTACGGCGTCGACTACGGTCTGATGGTGTGCGCGCTTTGGGGCGTGGTGAAGGACCTGCAGGCCCGTATCCAGACGCTGGAAGGCAAGGGCAAAGGCAAGCGGAGCAAGGGAAACTAGGTAATCGCGTTGACCAGGGAAGCGATCTCCCTACAAAGGGCTGGCGTCGTAGCCCTTGGTGGCTCCTCGCTGGGCCGCCATGGGATGGCGACCAGTGTTCACCGAGTGCGAACATCTGAAGCCTTTGCGACACACTGGCCGCTCTGGTGTCCAACGCAGATTGTGCCAGATTCGCGTGGTCTTCTTGTATGAGAAGCCATACTGACAATAGGTCACGTCGATTCAGGGCAAGCCGAGCATGAAGGGCCGCGTTTTCAGCAATCCCGTTTGTGGGTTCTCTATGGCCCAGAACCGCGGCTGTAACTCTCTGATTATCTCCAGCGTCCTGATGGCCAGGCGGTCCCCGTCCTCCAGCCTGCGCGGCCTCCTTGTCAGAGCTCTGGAGTATTCAGTGCACACCGGGGAGGCCCAGATCATGTCAAAGTAGCCCGGCGCGAACATTGGCATTGGCTCCCACACACAGATGTCGGTGCAGACGGTGGGACATGTCTTGGGATCGACGTCAAGGGATGTGACTTCCCACCCCAGCTCCTCGAAGGCTTTGCCCACCGAGCCCGTGCCCGAAAACAATTCCAACAGGCGTCGTTTCATGTTTGTCGTCGGTTTCCATGACAGGTTCGAGCGTCAGCCACAGCAGAGCAACAAAACCTGCGCACAGACAAGCCATCTCCAGGTTGCAGAGCAGCAGCTGACGACAGTCCTGCAAGTGCTCGGACATTTTTTGTTGTGCTTCTTTAAATAAAAGGAGCCCGAGCCATCATCGGAAATGACGACCATGACTCTCCGACTTGGCGGCGTGCAGACAAACCTCAAGGGCGGCAAATATTTGCCTGCCGAGCCTCCTGTTTCCTGGAACACCACGCAGTGGGCCGAAATCCTCTATGAGCCCAGCGCCTTCAGCAAGGGCGAGCCAAACGAACGCGTCAGCTTGTGCCTGGAGCTCACTGACGAGATGCGAACTGCCGTCGAAGGGCTCGAAAAGCAGGTCGCCGACGAGAAGCTCGAAGGGACAACTATGCCTATGCAATCCTGCATCAAGCAGACGCGCAGCAAGGCCCAGTGCTTGAAATTGAAAGTGAACCTGAGCAGGGCGTGCTTCTGGGATGCTAATGGAAACAAGCTCTCGGAGCCGCCGACCGAGCTTCGCGGACGGAAAGCGCTGGTGGCTGTCGAGGTGCGTCAGCTCTGGATCATGGGCCAGCAACGCGGGCTTCTGATGGAAGCCAAGGACTTGAAGCTGCAGGATGCCACGCCTCAAGTGTGTCCCCTGTGAGCTCAATGAGTTGAAGCGCCGAATGAAAGGTTGCTGACAGCCTCCATTGGAAACCTTTCATCTGATGAACGCCCTGGAAGCACAGAAGGAAAGGTTGCTGACAGCCTCTATGGAAACTTTTTCATCCTCAAAGCCGGAAGCTAGAATTCAAGAATTTGTTTGACCCCCCGCGAATTCATCGGACAGAAAGCTCCGCCAATTTTTTTTGAACATCAGATGAAAAAGCGTCTTTCCAACATGAAACCGGAGTTGGAACAATTGTCAGCTGCCATTCATCGTCCGACGGAAGCTCATCTGGTTCATCTGCTTGACGAATGGTTGGTGGGATGGAAACGCAAGGGCAGAACTTGAGCAATGGGACCTGGCGCCTATGAAAAATACTGCACGCTTGGACAGGCAATTTTAGTAATTTATTTTCACCCTCATTGTATGCTCATGGAGGCGTTGCTGGGATTTCTCAAGCCTCCGATGAAGAATCGATGTGCTTAGCCGTCAATCATTTTCTGCAAAACAGATTCCCCAATGCTTCATGGACTTCCATTGCCATTCTTTGCAATCTAGAGGTGGGTCGTCATCGGGATCTCCTGAATATGAAAGAACAACCCAACCACGCCATCACTTTGGGTTCATTTCTCCGGAGGCGTTTGGTCGAAGATAAAAAAATGGAAACTCTCCGGCCAAAGTCAAAATGAAAAGTGGCGTTCGTTCACTCATCGGAACGTGGCACGACATTCATGACAAACCAATCACTTTCAACGCAAGACGCTTTCATCAGCTCGAGGGCCTTGGCAGCTTACACCCCGCAGCTGACATTGCCTCTCGATTGGAGCATCTTGGATTTCCATTGCCTTTCATCTGCCAGACACCTCAACAATGACAGATGTTCATCATTGATAACATCTCTGAAAGTGTGCAGTCGGCTCTGGAGCTGCTCTCAAACTGCGGATCTCGCCCAAAAAAAAGCGGCGGACCGGCCTGATGCCTGCTTCATTTTAGGGTATTTGATGCTAAATCGACATTGGTAAGAGACAACATTAAACTCACTTTTCAAAATGCAAGACGGCCTTGACAAGAAGCTGAAAATTGTAAGTCCGTTTGGAGTGGGGGACACTCCACTGGCCGGACAGCCGGAGTGGGGGACACTCCACTGCGGTCTCAAATTCGGCCATGGGGGGAGTGAGAGACACTCCGGGACAAAAAACAACGTGCAAAATCACTCAAAAATAAGGATAAAATAATTGGTTCAATAGTTTTCTCTTTGCAACACACTCTTCTTGTCGGCCTGCCATTGAACTAGACATGTGGCGTAGGGCTCTAATAACAAGTCGAAGCAGAACTTGATGTGGGGCTCTGCGCTGGCTTCATTCCATTTGAGCTATCACACGCTTTCACTGTAGGACAGGATAGAGCATAATTCCCTGGTTTCGGCACTTCTACAGAACCGACTTGTGCTCCTAGCGAGCCAGCTGTTACCAAGCACACTAATTGGCTCAACAAAGTTGCGCGGCTGGTGATGGGATGCCACGAGTGCATCCGTGCATGACCTCTGCAGCTCAAAGGTCACTCATTTCTAAAGCGCCCAGCGCACATCGGCGGAAGTACCTACCCAATGGCTTTCCCCGCCAGCCCCAAACACTCTTCGCCAACGCATTTCCACATGCACTTCACAGCTTGCCTGCTTCAGATGGAGATAGAACGCCTACAAAAGGTGTGTGAAAGCCTGCAATCTGCCGATAATACTCTGCATCGCCTGCAGCCTCGTCAATCTTTGGGACTTGCGGTGTTGAGGTCAAATCTAGCGCTGTAGGAGCCTGCTTAAAGTCGGCCGGAGCTGAACCCAGCGCTCTAGGAGCTTTAGCAAAGTCAGTTGCAGCACTCCCTCCAGACCCGTCCTTGCCAGGGGGTTTGGAAATAGGGGGACAGGAAAAAGAGGTGAAGATGCCTCCAGTAGTTTCCCAGAAGAAGCCTGTTTAGCAGAGCCGGTGCCGGAGCAAGCTCCAGGTGAGACCACTGAGGTGGTTGTGCAGGAGCCTGAGGCAGAACGGGGTACCGGCTCCGATATGCCAAGGTTTACCAGTGGCCTGTGG